TTACAACAATCCTTCCTCGCAATAGTCACAGAGCATGTCTATTTATGTTTATTATAAGCTATATGAGAAGTCATATGACAGAAAAGCACAAAAACTGGATGTCAGAATATTGGTTCTTTGCAAATTGTAAAAGTTTTTACAAGAAAAAAATAAAAAGATAAGAAGCTTGTCATGTATTTAAAGTATTAGTTCACTTCCAGAATAAAAATTTCCTAATAATTTACTCATCCCCATATCAACCAAGATGTTCATGTCTTTCTTTCTTCACTCGCAAAGAAATTAAGGTTTTTGAGGAAAACATTCCAGGATTTTTCTCCATAAAATGGACTTCAATGGTCCAAACTGCAGTTTCAGTGCAGCTTCAAAGGGTTAGGGGCACTCAAAACGATCCCAGCCGAGGAATAAAGGTCTTATCTAGCGAAACTATCAGCCATTTTCTTAAAAAAAATAACCATTTATATATATTTTAACCACAAATGCACATGTTGCACAAGCTCCACGATGCGCGTCCGCAAATTCACAAATTCAATTTGGACCTTCAACCTGTTGGTTCCCATTAAAGTCCATTATATGGAGAAAAATCCTGTAATGTTTTCCTCAAAAACCTTAATTTCTTTGCAACTGAAGAAAGAAAGACATGAACATCTTGGATGACATGGGGGTTGTTACTCTTGAACTCATTGAAAAGATGAAATTAGAAATGAAATCCTACCTTGAAAAAAGATTTGCTAACCTTGGACATATTTGAACAACTCAGAAAATGTTTCTGCAAGTTGCAGAGATTTTTATGAAAAGCCTATTTGTATCAGTGCTGATCCAGAATTTTGTCTCCGTTAGGATGTGTGAAACCTTAAATCAGCACTCTGACTCGAAAAGTTTGAAAGGTATCATAGAAACAGCTGTTTTTGTGATAGAGAGCCAGTTATCTGGAAGTGCCAGTAAAGCTTGACAGTTTTTGATGGAAACTCTACTAAAAACAGAGTCTGACACCATCCACAAACACAACAACTTTCGTTAGTGTAGAGAAATCTGATGGAGCTCACACACTCACACAAACACACACACACACTTTCGCACACACACCCCCATATTCACCTCCTCACTCCACTGGTGAGGGATTTTTCCATTTGCACCTCTCCTACCCCTATTGTGCTTCACAAATCAGAGCGACAGACAACAACTCTCCTCTGCCCACAGCCCTGCCACTCACCGTGACCCACCTCTCTCACTCTCTTTCTCTCTCTCTGGGGAACACCAGCATCATGCATAAACAAGACCTTCCCTTTATCCTTTCGCTGTAAGCTTAGAGGAGAAAAACTCAATTTGTATACGTGTGTTCGGAGAAAAAGAAGAATCTCCCTATTTTGTGATAATCCCTGCCCAACACACAATGAGCTTTTCGGTTTCTTTATTCTTCTATCTCTGCTTCTTTCAGTTTGCAGGTTTGTGGGACTGAAGAGACATGCAAGGAATGTGCCAAAGACCATACATAGGAATATATATAGGACATACTGCATTATTACTACGGGATCCATCGTATATAAAACAAAAAACAATATCTAATATTGTCAATCATAGATTCTCAGGTGTGGTTTAGGTGTCCAGATACTTTGTGGGGGTGCATACCAAGCCTTGGCGCTCATATAAGAAATGCAAGTTTGAATTCTGCTTGCAACATGCTCTGATTCCATTATAAGATTGCATTATCCTCTCATTCTCCACTATAACGGTCTACAAAGTCATGTAAAAGCCTGGAAAATGAAGAGAGTGGGGGGAGAAAGACTTTGTGCCTTGGTGCACATACAAGAAAGTCAAGTTCAAGTTAAACCTGTAACATGCTCCAATCCCATTCTTGCTCACTTTTTATAATTTTCCACTCACTATAATGTCCACTATACCCGTCTAAAAACGTATGTCTAAAAACCTACGGCCCCAAAAATGAAAAGAGCGAGGAGAGAAAGAGGTCATACAAGTGCTGCAAGTTCAAGTTTAGCCAGAAACATGTTCAAAATCCCAATCCTGCTCACTTTTCCTATAATTTTCTACTATACTTTTCTACAAAAAGAGAATGGAGTGAAAGAGGTCATTTGAGCCTTGATGCATGAAATGCAAGTTCAAGTTAAGCCTGCAACATGCTCCAATCACATTGCAAAAGCCCCCAAAAATTGAGAGGTTGTGCAAGGTTGTATGAGACATGGATCACATAAAAGTGCTGCAAGTTCGAGTTCAGTCTGCAACATGCTACAATCCCATTTCTGCTCACTTTTCCTATAATTTTCCACTCATTCGCCACTATACCCAACTAAAATATTATGGAAAAGCACGAAAAATGGAGAGTGGAAGGAGAAAGAGCCTAAGTGCCTATATGAGTGCTGCAAGATCAAGTTTAGCCTACAACATGCTTTGAACCCATTCAGCTTTTACTTCACCTTTTATTTTTCTCTCATTATCCACTATATTAGTCTAAAAATTATGCAAAAGCCTAAAAAATAGAGCGTAGGTGGTGAAACAGTTCATATGAGACTTGGTGCACATATGAGCACTGCAAGTTCAAATATAGTCTGCAACATGTCTAATCCCATTCCCCCTAACTTTACCCACTTATTCTCCACCATGCCTGTCTTAAAAATATGCAAAAGCCCAGAGAAAATGAAAGAGGAGAGCACTGAAGCAGTAATGAACTCTTCAGAAGGAAGCTGAGGATTAATTGATCTGTAGGAGTCATGCTGGAGGAGGGAAAGCTGTAATTAAGCTACAGAGGCTCTGAATGCGGTTTTATAATGACTGCTACAAACACACACACACATTCACTCAGAGACGTTCCACATGACATCGCACTTGCACATAATTGCAGTCTCATGCAACTCTGACAAAGCTGTTTTGCTCCAAAACTGGTGAAGTACTGTTTTATTTACAGCACATTGAGGAATTTTACCATTTTATGTCACTGGAAAGCGGTATAGTGCTTTGCTAATAGATCAATAGATCAAATCCTCATGAACTTGCGACCCTACTGGCAAAAATGGCACTGCAAAGGTATAGATGTTTAAACATCTGTACCATTTAGCCTTGCACAGTGACTGGACTGTCAAAAATTTGATATTATATGAAATGCCTGTGTATATGTGACATATTATATGTAAAATATATTAAAAGGCAGTGAAGGTTGTTCTGAGAGGTCATTATACTAACTGCAGGATCTGCTTATTTATGGATTATTTAATGACTTATTTAAATATATTTAATTAAATATATTATTTAAATATTTTTTACAACCATTCAGTCAGGTCAGACCATCTACCAGCCCTAATGCTTTATGCCTGAATGTCTGTGTGGTTGCAAACTTAATTAAAATACGGAACATTCCTGTGTTGGCTTCAATACATATTTTTCTAATTTATTCCCTAAGAAATCCATGAATGGCCCCACGTAATGAAACAATGACTTTCAACTCTCTCGTCCTCCCTCCCTCTACCGAGTTGACTTATTCCGTCTGTTAAATTATTTCATCCCTTCAATCTCCTCTCGTCCTTTCAGGCTACAGACACTGTGCCTGTATTGTGACGGCACAAATGAACAGTGGAAATCTCATCTCCTATTTGGTGGTGCGAAGTGTTCAACGAATCAAATATTCTCCTTTTTTCACTTCTAAAGCATTTGAAGGAACACCATGAGAGTCTTAGAAGCCCATTTACTTCCTTATCTAATGTTAATCGTCACGTTCATCTTGCTCTTTTTGAGCCTGACGAGTCGGCTGTGATTGGCGGTTCGCTATCTGTTGAAATCGTACTTGAACAGCTGTGACGAAGAGAAAATTTCAGTTGGTGCACTGGCAAAGTTGACACACACCAGGAATATTGAATACCTAAGCAACACCTTTAAAGGGATAGTTCACAAAACAATTTACTATTATAAATTACTATTATAAAATTATAATTATAAAATCTATTATAAAATCACTATTTACTCACCCTCATGTTGTTTCAAACCTGCCAGTTGGGATTTATCGCATGAACAAATCACAGCCGAACATAACCAGTCATATGCAATCATATCGCAATGGAGGCATTGCTTCCTCTCACGTGACTTTCCCCCATTCATTCTTAATTACCCCCCACCAAACTCATCGCAGGCTTTAGGGGGTCTGTTAAAACTCAATGGGCTCAGGGGAGGCGAGAGAGACGTGGACTTCCGCAGTAACATTACTTGCTAGTGTCGCAGTTGGGCAATGTTTCTTTAGAAAAACAAGTGATTTAAACACTTTTTAATGTTATTTTTTGTAATATTGGCGTTGTTTTATTTTTGTACTACAAATTTTTTTCTCATCCAATATCTTGAGGAGGCACTGCCTCCCTTGCCTCCACGGAGGAAACGCCCCTGATATACAGTATATGCAAACAGCGTAACAAGAAATAAGAAATAAAATGTGAATAAATAAATAAAAGAAAATAAACAGAGAAATAATAAAACTGCAAAATACATAGTGTATATATTTTTGTGAGCTATTCCTTTAAAACCCCTTTAAAAACAGAGACACAAAAGCTTATAGAAGCAGAAAGGCAAAGACTATTTCTTGTGATTTATTTCCCTTTTTTTAAACTTGAAATGAAGGCTCACAGGGATTTCTTGAAGAAAAAAAAAAAGGGAAAAGAAAAACAAGAAGGGACACACAAGTGTCAAGCACCGCTGATTGAAGCTGCAAGGTCATTTTGAAGAGTGAGAGAAGAGGGGAGAGGAAGAGATGCTCTCTGGCATGTCTGTCTCACTCCATCAGGGTGTGTGTGTGTGTGTGTGTGTGTGTGTGGCACAGAGATGCTGAACAAAAGAAGAAGCTCTAACAGGTGAATGATACATAGCTAAGCAACTCTTCACCCTGATGACTTCAGGGCCTCCTCTCCATCATCGCCCTATTCACTCCTTCCATCCTATTCACACTGCACCTGCCGGCCCCTGCCATACTCTCTGCCCCTCCTTTCAGCTTCCCCCTTCCACTTGCTCACCTTGCAACTCCCCGCTTTTGCTGTAGAGTTCTCGCCGCTGCTCCCGCAGGTACGCACTCATGCTAATGGCATGAGAAGAAGACTCAAACCTGCAAAAAAAAAAAAAAAATGTTGTCAAAGGTTACGTAGGAAAGCAAGTCAAGGGTTTTCATTTTAAGTTAACCTGAAATCTAATGTGAATTGTAAACCCAAGAGCAAGGAGAAAATGCTTTCCCATGAGGCACTTACCCCAGTCTATGCGTGTGGTCCTTGTCTGCTGTTACCCTTCCCATTCCAATTAAATTCCTGAATCACTCTGCATGAGCAAACTTACTTGAATAAAGACTGTTTAGGTCGGAGAGGTTTCTTCTTGGCGAAGAACGCTCCAAAGTCTCCGCCGGTGCTGGCGTAAGACAGCTGGGCAGAAGGCTCTGCAGCTCTACGGGTATTTTTGACATCCAGGTAGTCCATTAGCAGCACCTGAGAGAGCATAAGAGCAATTTTTTATGTTTATTCAGTCAGTCATACATTACAATTACAGTAAACATCCAAATTCATTTTACTTTTTGACACTTTAAGTAGCTGTTCTACTAGATGTGCTAAACAGCTAGTGATGAACAGTTTATTAGTGCACTTGCTGGCACTGCACTTTGCAAACACAAGCAAACAGGTTTAGAAAAGGGATGGAATGGTCGATTAATCAAATGATTTTTCAAACGTTTTGATGCCAAGGACACCCAAATGTGATGATTCACTTGCAAAAAGACTCCTTTCTAAATATAAAGGCAGCTGTATATTTTAATGCATATACAGAATCATTTATACTGTTTGAGAAAACTAAATATTTATTACTCTGTATTAACTTGACAGCATACTGTTTTCTTTTAATGATATAAATATATATCATATATCAAAAGTTTGGAGTTGGTAAGACTATGTTTTTGAAAGAAGTCTCTTAGTTCCCTAAAGCTGCATTTATTTAATCAAAACAGAAAAATACTGAAAAAACTGTAATAGTGTGAAATTTAACTACAATTTAAAATAACATTTCTATTTTAATATATTTATTTTAAATATATAGATATATTAATATATTCCAGCTGTCACATGATCCATCAGAAAGCATTCTAATGTACTGATTTGGTGCTCAAGAAACATTTCTCATTATCATCAGTGTTGAAAACAGTTCATATTTTTGTGGAACTGTGCTTCATTCATTTTCAAAAGTTCAGTTTCAATTCATTTTTTTCATTATTCTTTGATGAACAAAGTTGAACTGCATTTATTTGTAATGATGTAAAGGTCTTTACTGCCACTTTTGATCCGTTTTATGCCTCCTTGTTGAATAAAAATACTTTCTATTCATTATTAATCATTTCTTTAAAAAAAAAAAAAAAAAAAAACACGCTGAACCCAAACTTTTGAACTGTAGTGTATAAACCTGAAAAAACACTTTTTCAGCTCAATTCAGATTTATTTGTATAGAGATTTACACACAAAATATTGTTCAAAACATTAACTTTGAAAGCTCTAAAATACATTTTCTAAAATATGTAGTTAGGTTATGTATACCCCTAGTCTAGAATGACTTAACTGCATCTGTTTCTAGGCCTGTCTCAGGCCCATCTTTTCTGGCTGTCTGTGTAACTTCGAACGCCTGCCATGTGCGCCAGCAAAATCCCATTAACTCTGATTAAAACTGCACTGCACTGCATCTGAGTTCATGAATATCCCATTCAACACTATCCATAACCATTAAGGGAGGTTCAAACTGCTGCAAGAGGACTGAAAAAGAAGTTCAAGTAAACTTTTCCACAAATTAGCAAGCCATTTTCCAATGGCTCCATAATAGTGACGCAATTAGCTTGGTCTATTTCTAAATCCCAGCTGCAAAACAGTCCAAAGTGAAGATGGAATTAGGAAAGGACAGATGGAACTACTTCTGACTGATAATAGCATAATTAAACGGAGATAAGAAGAGAACGGTCTATGAGAGGAGGGGAAGCCTCATCAACAGCCATTCCTCAACCCACAGGCAAGTCTAATCCGGCCAGCCCGTTACATTCTTGTCAGATTATTAATTACTAATGCCCATCTGATCCAGTGACGGAGCGGGTCTCGCATGTAGACCTCCAACTTAATTAAATGCCAACGTTTGCCTGATGAAGGAGTCTGGACCCACTTCAGTGACCTCGGAGAAGGGAACACAGAACTTTTAAGGCAATTAACCGTGGAGGATGAATGGATGGTGGGAGAAAGAAAGAGAGAGAGATTTCATGATGAAAACAGCAAACACAGGAAGGGGGACAGATGGAGAGAGATGTACAAGAGAGATTAGGAAGTGATAAATCGGCAAATTCATCCCCGCAAAGGAAATAACAGAATTCCTTCAGTACAATGCAGTACATTTTCAAGTCCTCTTCATACGGAGCTTACTTTATTTACTTAACGCTTTATTATCCATTCAATGTGCCGTAGAATAGAAATTTGTCTTTGGCACTGGCATAAAAAAGACAAATGTATACAATTAATAGAATATAAAGATAAGGTAAAAGAAATAAGATATTTAAAAAACATTAAAAAAAATAAATAAAAACCTTAAATGTCAAAGTCAAGAAATAAGATATTTCAGAAACAATAATAAAAAAATAAAAAAAAATGTCATTTTTTGTTTAAAGGTATAGCTATTGTTCAATAATAATAATAAAATTATTATATTATTATTATTATAAATAACTGTACTTCAAAGCAAATCCTACGATAACCATAGCAATGTTTAAAAGATGAAAATCATGAAAACAGTTTTCTTCCATCACAATATGACAATAATGATAAAGGTGAACATAGGAGTTAATTTAAAAAATACATCTGAAAAAGATTTTCAAAGTTGTGAATAAAAACAAAAGATTACTGGAGCATGTTTTACAAGAAAATAATATTTCACTTCAAAATACTTCTATTTCAAAATGTCATGTTTAATTCAATGTGTTGGTATAGCGGTTTCTTTGTAATTATCTGTTTTAATTATTTTATTTTAAAAATTGAATACCAATTTCTGAGTGAAAACAGTTTCTGCACCAAATCTTTTTTTCAGTGGATTGCTGCTAAGAGTGGATGTTGTAAATACAGGTAATTTAACTGGTAATTAATTATAGGTTTTCCCCGTATCCTCAATATCACTGTCCAAATTGTTGGTAATATCCTTTAAGTTTTAGTGGTGGTGTGGTTTTATTATGCTTTAGCGTGAATTTATTCTTCATGGTTTGTGCGTACTGTAAGTGCATGAGAATATTTTTGCAATATGTTAAACAGAAAAAGAAATACAGGAAGATGAAGGGAGGAAAACTTGAAGACAGGACTCATTATACCACCACCACAGCCAGCAAGGTCACTCTCACTAAAATGCCTCATGCCTCATCAGAAGTGCTTTCGTGCCCATTATAATGCGGCTTATTAGAACAGCCTTCGTTTTTCGTAACAACAGAGATGAAGCGTGGGCAGCAGCAGTGCTGTGTCCATTTTAAATCACCAAACAAGTAGGTGGAAACAACAGAGGCAGCTCAGCCAACAACACAAAGAACCCTCGAATGAGTCTGGCAATAAAACATGCAAAACAAACTGCTGATCTCCAGCAGGAACATCTAAAACACCACATCAAACAGAGACAAAGAGCGGCCCACTTATGATTTATGTCGACCATGGATGGACACAAAATAACAAAAGACCTGTTTAACATCACTGGGAAGTCTTATAGCCGGTGTCATAGCCGTGTTGAGAGGGCAGCTAATTTATACACCAATCTGTGTCTTCATGGAGAAAAACCTCCACAAACAAACACTAAGGATGATGGGTCAAAATGACTAGACGGTTCTGAAAATATTTGGTAAATTTGTAGTAAATGAAAGATTGTCAATGACTTTTCCCAGGGAAATGACCTCCAAATGACCTTTTTTTCTGAGAAGAAAAAGGGAGGACAAATACAAAATAAAATCAGTACTTTGAGCAGCAGTAACGTGATGGACACATTCTGAACCCTTCCATTTCCGGACGTTCATTTCACAGGCCCTCTTCTTTATTGGAGCCTTAAAGACTAGGCTGTTTTTACAGAAGGGAAAAATCTATATTCATGGCCTCTTTCAAGAAAAGACCAGCTTGAAAATGGTCTTGGGAAACAAGAGCCTGTGAGAAACAGCAAATGGCTTTTCACACCAGATAATAAACACAGAGCACACTGGCTGGATTTGTGATGTGCACGAATGCGTATCCCACAACAATTCTGTTTCCTTCCAACTCAAAACCATTACAAAGTTTAGCGACGTCTTCAGATGTGTCTGGAAAACCAAGAGTTAATCTTTAGTGAACCTTTAAACCCAGCCCCTTGTCTTTGAGGACACATTCTCAATTTAATGAACAGCGAAAAGCAGCACTCATCCCCTCTATTAGCCGCAAATCAAGCTAATTAAAGAAGAAAAACAGTGTTGAAGGATGTGCAGGTGAGCACCTGCTCTCTGATGATAGACGTTTGCAGAGTGCTTTAAGAAACGATGGAAATAAACAAAGCTTCCTGCCTCTCGTCAACCCCTCGAGATTATAAAAACGCAGTTTCCTCTCGTTCCATGGTTTCCAAAAAGGAGTCTGACACCAAAACATGATCATTTCTGAAGTGTTTTTTAAAACTGGGTGCATGTATGACCTTCATAAATTAAAAAATTTCACAAAAACAACCCAATTGCATTTTTTTTGTCTTTTTTACCCATCTCTGTGCAATTAAAATATGAATGACCCGACTGACAATAAAACTATAATCATTATGGAGGAGGGGTATTATGAACCATGGGATTCTGTCTCCATGGATACCTTACCATTATTCATAGTCATATAAGCTCACATGGGTGTTTGAGAAACACATAAATAGAGACCAAAAAAACAAAACGATCTAATATAAACAGCATATTTATTATTGTGATGCTTAACATTGATCTTGGATGCATCCAGCCAAGGTGATATGTTAATATGACACCTCAGGTAGAAAAAAAATTATATGTTGATTAAAAAGTTGATTAGTCGATCTCTTTGTTATCTTATACCTGCATTCTGGCATGCCATTTTATCAGATTTTCACTTCCTACACACAAAATATATAAATATATATATGCCTACGTATAGAATATTAGCTGGTTTATGCCAGATATATTAAGTTCAAATATATTTTTACCATACTTTCATATATAGTTAAAAGGTAAAATTAAGAGAATTTCTGTTAGGTGCCAGCTGATCCAAGCATATGTTTACAGGAAGTCAGATGCTTATCCACTGCAATCAATAAAAGTCATGGTCTCTAGGTACATGTGGTGAAGGGATCAGTGTGTTGCTATGTCACAAATGCAAAGTAAAACTGCAAAAGCCACAGCTATGGAGCAATTATGACAACACACCTGCTATAAGTGCAGTGATTGATTGGTTTAGTTAATGCTTACGCTCACATAGAGTAAAGTCTAAACCTCCCACACTCTTGCCTGCATTTTTGTTTTTAGTTTTTCTGGAAAAATAATCTGCTGAGGTTTCAAATAAATAATGCCAACTTTAACCAGAATCAATAGCAGTAAATTGGGTTGAATCTTTCAGAGGCTAAATATGAGTATTAGATTAGAGACCAAGATGGGTTTATAGTGAATCTATCTTTAGGCCTTACCATTGATAATTCAAATAATCTGAGGAAAGAGTCCAATAAAGCAGACATTAAAGTAATGAAAATGAAGATGAAGTTTTTTAAAAAAGAGAGAGGTAGTGAGGATAAAAATAGAAAAAAGTGATAATAAAAACAATAAAACACAGTAAAATAATATTAAATAATAAGAATAAGAATTAAAAACAAAAGTATATATATTTATATGTCGCCGACATATATATATATATATATATATATATA